CACCGCTGCGGAACTTTCTGGAGTGTTTGCGAGAGATTTTCGCCAGACGAGCAGACAAATTATGTCATAAATCTTTTGCGCTTTTAGAGACAATGCGAATCGATGAGTCACCAGAGAAAAACGCGAATCCAAAAATATTCTTAAATAATCACAGCAACGAATACATTAATAACAACACCAATAATGACGTTATCATTACTAAAAAAATAATAAATATAATAATATTATATATATTTTAATAAAAACAATAAAAATAATAAAAAATAATAATAATAAAAATAATAAAAAATATAATAAAAATATATAAATTTAATGATAGCAAACATTAAAAATAATCTCTCTGCATCGAACAACATTTAAAATATGAAAAATATTTTATTTCTGATGAGCACATAAATATTCAATGGATGCACGTAATACACAATACAGAACGATAATAAAATCAGCTCTCGTCATAATAATAATAATATTTATTATCATATATAATAATAAATGCAATAATAATAATATTAATAATAATAAATAAAACGATAAAAATATAATAAACACAATTAACTCTCGAATGCACATACAGAAATGAGGTATCGCCATTAATAATAATAATAATAATAATAATAAATAATATACAACAATAATAAATAATAATAAATATTAATTATCCACATCCAACGCTTCTTTCAGTGCGTCAATATCCCTTTTAAGATGCAACCCCAGACTCTCCTCCTTCTCTAATTCCTCTTTTGCTAATTTTATTTCGTTCTGAAATTTTATTATTTATTCCACTTTTATATAATAAATATTATACAAAATATAAATAATAATAATAAATATAATAAAAATAAACAAAATTAAAAACAAACTCACCAAATATCGATTATATTCCTCACAAGATTCGCCCATTCCTCCACCCATCAACTTTTTATATAGCGGATCGTTTTCCAGCTCTTTTAGTTTCCTTTTCTATAGTAATAAATATAATAAATAACAATAAAAATATTTAACAATAAAGTTATATTTATTAATATTTAATATTATATTAAATTATTTAATAACAATAATATAAATATTTTAAAATATTTAATAATAATAAAAATTAACAAATTCTAATGAATACCTTCTCAAAAAAACATTCAGCTGCCTTCAATTTATCTTCATCGATATCTTCTGCAATTAATATTAATAATAATAATTATTATTATTATAAATAACCAATAATAAATAATATAATAAATAAAATAAACAATAAAAATATAATAAATAAATTAAACCTTCCAATTCCCGAGTCAATTTATTAATTTCCTCCAAATTCTTCACCACATCATTTTCAATTTCTTTACTTCTGCGTAGCTGTTCACTCAGTTGATTTCCTATAACAATAATAATAATAATAAATAACAATAAATAATAATAAATAACAACAAATAATAACAATAAATAAAAACAATATTAAAATAAATCCCACCAGTGGAATCAACAATCGAAGTATCGCCATCAGCCCCACCGCTGTCCAATTTACAATAATTATTAATCGTCTGCAGTGTCAAATACAACTTCATCACATCCACATCCGATGCGTTCTCGATTCGCTCCGTAAGAGACATTTTCGCTGAATGCCGATTTACACTATTATATATATTATTTTTACTATTTTTATTTTTATTATTACTATCAAACCGACGACAAAACTCCTAATAACATTAACAGGTAATACTCCATTTCAGGTTGGTATAATCGAAACGGTATTTCTTACTGTGCTCTAATTAAGTAACATATTCAATTACGAATGTGAACGATATGTTATTTTAATTTTACCAACCTAAAATACAAAATGACCCGGTAAAAATAATATCAATAATAATAATAGTAATAGTAATAGTAATAAAAATAATAATAATAATAATAATAATGATAACAATAATAATAATAATAACGCTTCATATAACAAGCAGTGAATATCTAAATATATTTAAATTAAAATTTATTTATCAACGATTCCAGTAATCTAAAAACAACGATAATATTTAATAAACACAATAATAATATTAAATATATAATAAAATAATAATAAATAATAAAAAATTACTACAATGAAAATTACGCACGCCGCCAGAATTCAAATTAATTCAAAAAGGCGGGTTCGCACTTTTCGTGCTAAGACCCAACCATCATTCAGACCAACTGTTGCAGCTCCATTCCCTTAACCCTATACCCGACCATACCTTATAAAACCAACAAAACACAAAATATTAAATTTCTTTACCACAAAAAATAAATTTCCTTGGGCATATACCACACAATAACCACAAATATACCGATTACAACATTATCAAAAATATTTATTAATTTACAATAAAACTCATCAGTATAAATTATATTATACAACACAATAAAAATTATAAATAATCATAATTATAATAAATAATAATAATAATAATAATAAATAATAAATATATAAAACAATAAAAATAACCCCAATAATCACATTCTCTTAAACCATTTCG